CAGGGAAAGTTTTCTTTATCCACCTGCGCATTCCTTGGGGATGATTTTAAATCTCTCCTGAGAGTCTGTCACCGTGAGGCCCGCCTGTGAGTCGGGTTTTTCTGTCTACGTCACCTGCATGGTACAGGAACTCTGAGCTCAGACCTTCACGCAAAGCGCTCCTGGAGTGGTGGCCTCGAGGGCCCCTGGCAGAAGCAAACACAGCTTCCCCTGGAAGGAGACATCTCCCCGGGCCTCACAGACTCCCACTGACCAACTCCAAAGAGGAGCTCACGTTCCAAGTGGACAGACTACGTGGAGAAAGAAGCCACTGTAAACCAAGGTCAGCCAGTGACAGACAGCGAAATCACGTCCTCGAAACCTCAGGTAATGGAGTCATCAGGCACAGAATGCAAATACGTTCATTTAAAATGTTTTTTTAAAAAAGAGGATGTTGAAAATATGAACCAGAAACAAGATACTCTTAAAAAGGACTTTATCTGGGAACAAAAAGAAAATCAAGTAGATGTATCCAACAGCCAATCAGACATAGACGAAAAGAGAGTTCTGGAATGGGAGGGTAGATAGAACCTGCAGATGCAGCACAGAGCAGGAGAGGGGTGGATGGCAGAAAGGGCTCGGAGGACCAGGGTGTCAGGTCCAGCACAAATCCGGTCCCGGTCTCAGCGGAACACGGAAGGGTGATGGCCGAGAGTCTTCACAATTTTCTTCACAATCTGCATCCTCAGATGCAGAGAGCCTGGCCATCCCAAATACAGTGAATAAAAAGAGATCCACAGCCAGGCAACTGGTGAAACGAAAATGCCAGAGCTGAAGGCCTTCGACATGCAGCGCGAAGGACGGGTGCCCATGCAGGAACAGGAGCAGCAGGGCAGCTGGCGCCCCACAAGTTCCTGTCCACTCGGAATGGGGCGCCAGCTGGACCTCCACTCAGAAATGAAAGAGGAGACGTTTCCAGAAAAACAAAAGCAGACAGGATCCACAAACAGCAGACCCTCGTTAAAAATGCCTGAAGAAGGTGCTTCAGGAAAAAATTAATCAGAAGGAAGAACTAAGAATCAAGAAAGAATGTGGGCAAGAAAAAGGGGGAACCTAGCAGATGTTTAAAGCAATAATGAAATGGGGGGCACTAAGAACCAGGGGCAGCAAACTCTGGGCAGCAAGCAGCCCACGGATAGGGTGACGGGAGTGATACGAGGTCCACGTGCAGAGTAAACCGCCTGATCAGAGTGGGCAACAGCAGCACGTCCTGTGTGGGAGCGCACCGACCACAGCGATCCGGCCGCTCGGAGTGCTGCCCTGGCACCTTCCCCACGACTTACTTAATGCGGCTTTGGTTTTGGCGTCTGTTAGCAGGTATGTGTTGTCCTTGTGTTGTTTTCTAGGCTTTGGGGAGGTTTGAAATACTGCATTTTCCAGCTGTTTAACCTGGACTCTCATCACCAGATGCAATGATGGAAAGCTGCTCAGAATCCCCCGGTCCTGTTTGTAATCCCTCAACCAGGAGAGAAAATAGAAAAAGGACAAAACCTAAAATTACGGTTTTCGAGGACATTTTTGGAACCCTAGCATGTCATCTACTTTCTTCCTGAAACTAAGCTGTAGGGCACTGCAGTCTGAAAGCTAGAAACTTGAGGAAATTCCACAGGGACCACCGTGTAAGGCCTTGACAGGAAGTCGCCTCCTAGAAGGAAGTGGCAGCCTTGGCTGCTGCCTTCACACAGCTCGGCTGTGACCCCTTCAGAGCATCTGCCATCTTCACTAATTAAGACCCAACTCGCCCCAAGAATTCATCAAGAGAAGGAGAGACCACACACACCGTGGAACGCAGAGGTCTCCGTGTGGGAACACTTCCCTCCTAGACTGAAACATCCTTGCTTCTGATTGGAAGTTGGTCATGTCTGTTGACAGGACGGTCTTAGGAAGATCACAGGGCCTGGGTCCCGCCCCCACCTCAGCGAGTCACTCGCTCGTGGAGTTGAGAGAAGCTCAGTGATTTCACACAGCTGACCTCCAGGAAGGGAAGGGAGAGCCATCCTGGTATCTGGTGTCAGGTGCCAGGAGGGCTCAGGTTTTCAGTAAACAATTGATCATTCCGTGTTTTTGGCTTTGCAGCTCAGTCCTGGGGACGAAGGGGCCAGGCCTTGGGAGTTAGCCCGAGGCACCCTCCCCTGGGCTCTTGAAAGGGAGGGTCTGCAGTGAGGGTGGGCAGCTCCCGAAGGGTCTGCTCACACCAGGTGCTGGACACTGCTCTGCTGGGCCACAAACAGCACTCGACGACGTGGGTGAAGCGCTTCCCTGTGTTCAGCAAGCGGAACGTGAGCGTCGAGTCTGTGAGACTCTCTTTGCCTCCTCCCAGGCCTCGACAGAATGCCCAGGGCTCGCCAGCGCTGGAGCTGACCTGCCTGCCTGAGGCTTCCGGGGTCGCTGCATCTCCTCGCGCCCTCTCCCTCCGAGCCCGCGTTTCCTGCTTGATTGTGCTCCTTTTCTCTGCTGGGAATCGAGGCATTTTCAGAATCTCATGAGCAACTGAGCTCTGTACACTCTTGAGACTTAAAACATCCATATTGAGCTGAGAGTTTTCTATTGAAAGAAAAGTCGAAACTGCAGGTGCTGAGATGAGCAAGGCTCTATCCACGAGGGTGTCGTCCTCCCACAGGCCGAGCTCTGCTGTCGGGGGAACATCAGTGTCGTTGTGAACCTGTGTGCTCGATGCGTGAAGAGGAAGACTCCACTTGACCTCTCCAGGCTGCGAGGTCCCGGCTGTGACTCCCCATCGCATTTCCTGCTCTTCCACACACCACCACTCCACACCCAGAGGCTCACGTGAGCGCAAGCCCTGGAGCTGTGCAAGAAGGCAGCGGCTTCTACAGGGACCAGAGCATCTGCTCCGTCTTCCGAGATGTGGGATTCAAGTGCACGAGTGTCAGTTACATGATGACGGTTGAGTCTGGTCTCCAGTACTAGTGGAACTTTCCACGAGGATGGACACGTTCTCTATCTGCTTTGTCCAGTGTGGCAGCCACTGGCCACACGTGACTTTGAGTGCGTGAATTGTGACCAGTCCAGCTGAATAACTGCTGGATTTCCTGCTGGATTTAAATGAATTTAAATTTTAATTAATTTTAATTAAATTAAACTTAAAGAACCACATTGGGCGAGAGGCATATTGGGCAGCCCAGGTGTAGACTCCTTGAAATTTATAATGGGGCCTTGGTCGGCCTATTGAGGTTTAACACAGAAAAAAGTCTCGTCTAAAATTTATTAATACATTAGTTTGCCAGATCAAACTTCAGGCTAACCTTGATTGTTTGAACTATTCGAGAGGCTGTACTAATTAATTCAGTTTTCTCATTAAATATTAACTAGAGACTCATTTTTTCCCAGACTTTATAGTTTGTTTCTAAAATGTATTACTAGTCCAATACCAAGCCTTCAACACAAAGTGGTATTAAGTAGAGAGAAAACTTTCCTGGAAATGTGGCACTTTGATTGGAAAGAACAAGGCAGGGTGGGTAATGGGTGCCATGCAGACGAGCCTGCAGGGGCCCACAGACCTGCCCTGCCGGGAGCAGAGGCTGCCCACTTCACCACGCACCTCTGACAGCCCCGTGGAGCTGCAGGAGCAGGGCCCAAGAGGACAGCCTGCCGGCAGACCTGTCGTCGGTGGGGCTGCCTCTCCAACCCCAACCTGGACCCTGAGTTGGCCCACTCTGCTCACCAGGCCTCAGCTCCTGGTGACTGTCGGACGCTCACAGTAAACACAACCCTTCTCTAGAGGAGTTTGGACCAAGCTGCCTTTAGAAATCAGCAGCTGTGAGGACCGTCTCCTGCATCCCCACTCCTCCCGGTGCCCAGTGCAATGTAAAACCCAGCGAGATCAGGACTTATTTACAAAATCAACCCATCCCTGAGGCTTCCAGGGCCCTCTCACGGGAAGCGCCCCTCTGGGTGCAGCATCGGGACAGTGGTCCTGAGGCGTTTGGGGCTGTCTCTGGGGAATTGCCCCTCTGGGTGTAGCCTCAGGACTGTGGTCCTGGGTCGTCTGCAGCCCTCTCTGGGGAATCGCCCCTCTGTGGCAGCATCAGGACAGTGATGAGACAGAGAAGCTGGCGACGTCTTCGAGTCACCCCCTCCCTGCTCCAGTTTCATAAGAAAGATGCAAACCATGCAGTACCCCAGAGTTATCATGAGTGATTACACTTCCTTAGAGGTGTTGCTGGCCTGCCATGACTAACACTGAAGTCATCCCTAGAGGCCCCATTCCTTCTGTGTAGGTTCCTTGTTGAAATAGGGCTCCCAGCGCTAATGTCACAATGATTATCATTAATCCCCCCTCTCCTGATGATTTCATGGAGTTTAAAAGTATCAAGCCGTGTAGCCTGCTACACCCAGAAGTGTCAAGGAAACTACAATTACAAGATACTGCAGTGCAGCCACCGGGTCTGGGTTAGCAGAGTCCCTTTGTTTGAGTGTCTTCCGTGTGCCTGTAAAGGCATGTGGTTTTTGGTTTACTCAGACCCTGTGTCCACACAGCTTGTTCCCCACCCTGGAGGGCTGAGCCCGTTCCAACCCCTTTGGGATGGAGATCAGAGCCTTCTTTGTACGTGGTCCAACCTTTCCTTCGCTCCCTGTCTCTCTTGCCCCTTCCTTCCTTCCCTCTTTCCTTCCCTCCCTCCTTCCATCCTTCCTTCCTTCCCTCCTTTCTTCCTTCACTTTCCCTGAGGGTGGCAGGTCCTGTTTCCTCCAGACAGATTGGCTTTACAGACACCATCCAAAGTCATTCACCATGAATTATAAGGGAAAAGGTGGGTTAAAGAGGGGAACATAACTTTTGGTTCAGAATGGAGGAGGGACTGTAAGCGATGCCGTCTCGTGCGTCCAGGCGATCCGTGGCTGAGAGCCTCTGTGAAGGGAAAGGCACCGTCAGATCTGGGACCCGGCCCTTTGTCTGGTGCTAGCCACCAATGGCTCACAGACACGTTTTTCCTTCTTTGCAGATCACGTTCTATATTCTGGTGAAGGCCGTTTATACCCTGGGCTACAGTGTCTCTCTGATTTCCCTCACGACCGGAAGCATAATTCTCTGCCTCTTCAGGTGAGTATGGAACGAGCAGCTCCACAGAGTGTGAGGCGGGGAGATGGTCTGCGTAAGCCGTCAGGCCCGGCAGAGGAGCGGGGAGACTCACTGCCCCGAGCCTGGTCATGCTCTCCCGAGAGTGCGAGAGTACAGTGTGGTGCTGACGTTTACGTCCTTGTTGAAACACCCTGCGTTTCGTATATAAAGAGGTAGGTCCCTGGAAGACCCGGCTGGGAGTTCAGTGCGACTGTCGTTTAGTAAGTGCTCAGCCATCATGCAAATGCCTCAAAAGCACAGAAGCAGCGTGATCTTGACCTTGCCCCTCAGAAGCACCTACATTTGCCCATTGGTTTCTGTTGAGAGACACAGTAATGTGTTCCAGAATGTGAAGGAAGCAGCCTGGCTGCCTGTGTTCAAGTCCTGGGTCAGTCTCTTAGGAGCTGTGTGACCTTGGACAAAGTACTCAGTCTCTCTGTGCATCTGTAAAATGTGGATGCTAATGGAACCTACATGGCATGTGATAAGCGCTCTTTAAATTTTGCCTGTTTTTCCCCTGGCAGTGAGGGTAGAGCACCCCCACCTGAAGTTCTGGTAGGTCTCTCCGGTGACTAACTCCATACATCCTGCAGGTGGCTGGTCAGTTAGAGGATAGAAGCTTTGGTCCCAGAGCAGAAGCTTCTGTCTAGGAAAAGCTAGTAAGTATTTTTAGGGTTAAATCCGTGTCTTAAGCATCACTAGCACTAAATAAAATGGACGGTATCTGGCTTATTTTAACAGGGCTTTGCTTACCACCTATCTTATTTCTCTTGGCTAAAATATAGTTCAAATGTCGGCCAGTACTCAAATAAAATCAGTGATATCACAAATGCAGTACTTTTAGAACTGTCGACACAAATAATCCATAACCAACCTATAAATCAAAATTGGGGTGAGTTTATTATGAGCCAGAGCGAGGATTATAACCTGGGAAGGCCTTAGAAGGCGTTCCACAGAAGCATGGGTTTCAGTAAAGTCTTATATCTTTTTAGAAGAAAGAAGATACATTAAACATACCCAGGATACATTTTCAAAGAGGTATTCAGTTGCAAATTAGCGGGTCAACATGACCATGATGCCAGGAAAGCGAACAATCTGGGTGTCACCAATAGGGTGTTACCAACAGTACCAACAGGGTGTAGGAGGGGCAGTCTGCATTCCTTAACTCAAGAGAAATTCCTTACTTTAATGGATAAACAGACGTACAATGTGTGTTTGATCGGCCATAAGTCAGGCTTTCTAGTTTAAGCTGAATCATTTTTGAACTCGAATAGTTACCCCATCTACCTCAAAACGTGAAAATCTCGTCAGAACTTAACAACTCATTAAGAGAGCCGTACTTGGAAGTAACATAAATGAGTGAAAACTGATGAAGAGTCTAGCTGGGAGATCGAGCAAAGGCGATTAAGTCGTTCTTTCCATCCTTCAGGGACCTCAGATGTATCGAGTGCTTGGTGCTTCTCAGAAAGACTAAGTCAGTGCCTTTAATCCAGAGCCGTACTTCAAAAAATGTCATATTCTAGTTCATTAAAGAAACACTGATACAATATTAATATTTATTCTGCTATACTCTTTTTACTATATATTTGAAATCTTCAAATTGTTAAAAATAATAAACATCTAGGGAGGTAAGCTGGCACAGGGTAGCTTGGGCACGTCAGCTTCTTTTTAAAGAGCTCCTACGTGGAACCGTCCGTATTCTTGACATCGGAAGCTTCTCTCAGATTTGTGCTGGTGACATTTGTAATTAGGCAGCCTAATGGCATTTGAGAGTTATCGCAAATACGGACATGATCCTTTAAGAGAATCTCAAATGGTTTCATGACTATCAAACACAATCTTCTATACGTGGACATCATCAGTCACCTACTGGTGACACAGTGTAAAAAGGACGTGTCTGGATGTCATTCTGCCGCCAGTTCAGTGTGTAACAATTGCTGAGAAGAGCCCAGAGCCAGTGTACACTTCTGGGCTCTGCCTTCTTCCTGGGCCACCGAAATGCTGTCCCCTTCCCGCCTACATCTGTCAGATGTGCTTGCTTCTCCGATGCCACTTCCTTGGAGAGCCGTGAGAGTGAGTCGATTCTAACATCCATATTATAAAAATAACACACTCCGTTGTCCTGGTGATTACGCCCAGGAAGCAGAATTCTTTGCAGTCACTGAAGATTTATTCCCCATAATACCCCATAAGCCAAGAGAGCAGTAAGTGACCATGTTCTTATTTTACACACAGAGAAATGGAGCGACTTATTTCTTAGGCCGAGTCCCAAAGTGCAGGGCAGACCTGGCTACCACACACACAGCCTAGTTCTGTGGGGAGTCTCTGGGCGGTCGCCGCAGCCCATCCTCCAGTGCGTATGTGACCCAGGGACCTGACACAGCGTCTCTGCACCCACAAGCGCAGCAACAACAGCAGTAATTGCTAACATGCGCCGTGCCTGCACTTTACAGGTGCTTCTAGATTAGTCCTGCAACCTCTCCACCAGGTGAGAGCTGCTGCCCCGGTTTTACCAGTGAGAGAAAGGAGGCCCAGGGAGGTGCCACACGTTCCAGCCCGTGCGCTGGTGACTGCAGAGCCTGACTCACGACCGCGTGCAACACCCCCTCACCTTGGGAGTTGGCATGTTCTGAAAAGTCCGTTTCCAGCCGTCGTTAATGAGCAGATTTCTGCCCGGCTTGTCTGGAAGCCACACTCTCAGTTACATCCATCATCCGTTAGTAGAGCCATACTTGGAAGTGAAGCTTTAAATTGAGTGCTGGGTGATGAAGGACGCAGCTAAGACACTCCACAAACATGGAGCGTGTGGGATGAACGTGTGCTCTTCTCCGAGTGGTGACGGTGAATCCCAAACCCGCTCTGCGGGTGAGAAGGAGGGAAGGGGGACAAAGACAAGGAAGGGAAGGTGGTTTGCAGGATGAACACAGCAGGCGAGAGGAGCGGCGGCGGTAACCCAGCAGCCTGGGCGTGGGGAACTGTGTCCAGAGAGCAGCGGGGATGGGAGTGCAGGGCAGGCAGGGGTCCTGAGCAGGTCCCACCGCGCACCGGCCCTCTGCGGCTCCAGCTTGCTCCTGAGACCCAAGGAAATTTACTTTGTATTTAATATATTCATTCACTGAGGCTCTGCAGCAGCATTAAATACAGAAAAATAAACCTTTATTAGTGAAGTACATGTTCAAGCGGGTGAGTGTTGTATGTGTTCAAGTGGACACCACGTCCAGATCAAGACACAGGACACTGTTAGCACCAGAAGCCGTCCCCGAAGCCACTGTCCACAATCCCCGCTGCCCAGAAAATAGCATCGTTCAGGTTTCCGTCAGCATAGGAGGCTTCTGCCTCGTCTCTGGGTTCTTTCATTCAGCATTTTGTGGGGAGATTCATCGATATTCTTGTGTGTAGTTATCCTGTTCTCTTTCACTGCCGTATGAATGTAGCAGCGTTTATTTATCCAGTCGACTGTTCATGGATGTACAGGTGACTCTCAGGTTGGAACTGTAGCAAATAATGCTGCTATGAATATTGCATTATACATTGTCTCTTGCACATGTGGACACACTTCTTTAGATATACATGTGTGTGTTTTTACATGTCTACACATTTATATTGGTTTATTTCGTATTTATATTACATTCACTAGTCATAGGCTATGCATAGGTTTAGTCTCTCTAGATACTGCCAACTAATTTTCCAAAATGTTTGTACCATTGCACACACCTACCAGCAGTGAATGACATTGCTATTTGCTCTGCATCCTTGCCACCATTCGTTATTGCCAATTTGTAGATTTGGCCATCCCATTGGGTCTACAGTAACATGGAATCATGGCTTTAATTTGCATGTTCCTGCTGGATAATGAGGTCATATGTGTGGAAGTCATTTGTTTGAAGTACAAGTTCAAGTGTTTGCTCATTTTCCTATTCTGTTGCCTCTCTTTTCTTTAACTCATTTTTAGGAGTCATATAGTGGAGTCTTTTGTCAGATATGGGTGTTACAAATTTTATCTCCACCTCTGTGGTTTGACTTCATTGCCTTAATGAGTCTTTTGATCAACAAAATTCTTAATTTTAATGACGTCGCTTATCATTTCTTTGTTATGGTTAGTTCTTCCCGAGTCCTGTTTAAGAAGTCTTTGGTATCCTCATCTTTATTATCGCCTAGAAATTTTATTACTTTAACTTTTCATATGTAAGTTTATGATCCACCTGCAGTTTAATTTTGTGTGTGGCGTGAGGCAGGGCTTCTGGTCATTCGTTTTCTTCAGGACGTGTATCCAGTTTATCCAGCACCGCTCACTGAGAAGACTGTCCTTCACACGGCTTTGCAGAGGTGGCCGTGCGATGGTGTCTCCTGGGACTGGACACTCTGTTCTGTTCCATTTGGTTCTCTGCTATCACTGGTCCATTTTCACGCTGTTGTCATTGCTGTACCTTTATAATACATCTTGATTTCCAGCAGTATATGCCTGTTGACTCTTCTTCTTTGTTAGGAAGAGTTTCCAGTTGTGCTTACATGTGAATTTTTCAAAATCAGCTTGTCAGTTGCCATTAAATAAAATGCTACTGGGATTTCATTTTTGATGGCAGTGAGTCTATAGATCCACTTGGATGGACTGGAGATCTTTATGATTTTGAATCATCTAACCTGTGATCAAAGTATATACTTCCATTTGTTTAGGTTTTTTTCAGTTTCTTTCAATAATGATTTGTGGTTTTCTGAGTAAAAGACTCGCACATCTTTTGATAATCATTCCTAGGTATTTGTTTGTGCTATTGTATATATTTTGTAAAACTCCCTTCTAATTGTTTCTAGAAAAAGAATTTATCTCTGTATATTAATCTTGCTTCAGCAACCTTGCTGAATTTATTTATGAATTCTATAATTATTCTGTAAATTCACTTGGATTCTTCTATGTGCAGCTTATGTTTTTGTGAAGCACAGTGTTAAACAGAAGGGACTGGAAACACCTTTTCTTACTTCTGGGCTCGGGGTGCGAGCTCTCAATACTTCACTATAAGCATGACCTTGGCTGCAGATATTTTGAAGATACACTTTACCAGATTAAGAACGTTCCTTTCAGTTCCCAGTTTTATGAGTTTTTAATCATGAATAAGTATTGAATTTTATCACTATTTTTCTGCATATATTGAGGTGAGCAGATGGTTTTTATCATTTTTTTCATTTAGTGTGAAAAATTGCATAGATAGGTTTTCTAATATTAAATCTACCTTTCATTCCTCAAATTAACCCCACCTAGTTGTGACATATTATTCTTTTACTATATAGCTGGGTTTAATTTTCTAATATTTTGTTGAGGATTTTTGCATCTACATCCATGAATTTAATCTACAATTTTCCTTTCTTATAAAATTAGGCTTTGATATGACAGTTATACTGGCCCCTAAGTGAATAAGACAGCGTTCCCTCTTTCCTATTCTTTGGACTAGTTTGGGTTAGATAAGGTGCTGTTTCCTCCTTAATGTTCATAGAATTCACCAGTGAAGTAGTCTCGGCTGAGAATTGTCCTGGAAGACTTATTTTTAGGTTCAAGTTTTTAAAAACAGACATGATGATTCAGATTCTCTATTCTTATGTTAGTTATAAGTTGTATTTTTCAAGGAATCTATCCATTTCATCTACATTTTCTAGGTTCCCTTATTATATTTTTAATGTATATAAGAGCTGTACTGATATCTCCTGTTTCATTCCTGGTATTGGCAATTAGTTTTTCCTTCTTTTTATCTTGATGAAGCTTACTGAATAAAGTTTTATCAATTTTATCAGTGTTTTCCTAGAACCAACTTTCGACTTTGTTGGTTTTCTCTCTTGTATGTTTATTTATTAATTTACTGACACCCTCTAATCTTTATTTCTTTCCTGCTGCTTTCTCTGGTTTTAATTGGAGTTCTTTTACTAGCTTCTGAAGATAAATACTTACAACATTCATGTTCAGTCTTTCTTTGTTTAAACTGCGTTTATTTATATCTACAGATTTACCTCTCAGCCCTGCTTCAGTTCTGTCTTTCAAGTTTTAAGATGTCTGTGTGTTCCCCATTATCATTTAGTTCTAATTTTTCTAAGCTCTTCTTGTGACTCTTTGTAACTCGTAGGCTATAGAAATCTGCAGCTTAATTTCCAGTTCAGCTCTTTGTTGATTGTTTCTGGCTTGACGTGTGATGATCAGAGAGGAGCTGCATGAATTCAACCCTCTGAAACTTGTTGAGACTTGCTTTGTGATCCAGAATGTGGTCTGTTTCAGTAAAAGTTTCCTTTTCATGTGAAAACAACGTAAACTCTGCAGTTATTGTTTGTTATGCCTCATTTGTCATTTACATTGTTTGTTGATCATGTTATTTAAATATTCCAAATCTTTAGTGATTGTTGTAACTACTTGTTCTGTCAGTTACTGAGAGACACATGTTAAAATCTTCAACTATAGCTGTGGACTTGTCTATCTCTCATTTTATTCTTTTTCTCTGTTTACTTTATATATTTTAAGGTTATGTTATTAGGGACATACAGTTTAATGTTTTATCTTCCTATTAAACTCTCTGTGTTCAGTAATGCCCCTTGCCTTAAAAATCTACTTTATCTGATGTTCATGTAGTTGTCTTAGCTTTCTTTATTTGCTGTTTGCAAAGTATATTGTTTTCTATGCTGTTACTTTGAACTTCTGTGTTTTATATTTAATTTGGGTGTCTTATAAGTTCCACTTAATTGGTATTTGCTTTTTATTTCCAGTCCAACTATTTTTATTTTTAGATGAAGTATTTGTACACTCACATTTAGACTCCTTACTCACAACTTGGAGCTCTAATCCACCTTCTGTCTGTTTGCTTTCTCTTGTCTCAGCTCTTTGTTGCTTCTACACTCATTTTGTGTTTATTTTTTAATTGATCAAGTATTTTTATTATTCTACTTTTCCCCTTTTACATGGTTAGTTACATATTGTTCATATGGCTGTCACCCCAGATTTACAGCATGCATGCTTGTCTCATGGAAGTTAACCTCCAGTTACTGTTTTTACTACTTCCAGTCAATAGAAAGACTTTACATTTTAATTCCATTTACCCCCTCATGCCTTTTGTGTTATTGTTACGTATTTTAATTCTACATATAAATACCACAAGATTTAATTATTATTGTTGTTGCTTTAAACGGCAGCATTTATGTAGTTACCCGTACATTTATCTTTCTTGGTGCTCTTCGTCCTTCCTGTATTTTCGTGTTTCCATCTGGGATCATCTTCCTGCTGCCTGAAGATCAACCTTTGGTGTTTCTTCCAGCACGGCCTACTGAATGAGTTGTCCTGGTTTTTGATTGCCTGAAATCATCTTAGTTTTGCCCCCGTTGTTGAGGACATTTTGGGGAGTGTTGGGTTCTCCGTAGAAAACATCGCACTGAAGACGGGCATCCTCACTTTCGAGAAGTCAGCTGCTGGTCTCATTGGCGTTCTGTTGAAGGAACGCGTCTTTTTCTCTGTGGGCTTTGAATTTTTTTTTGCTTTATTTTTGGTTTTCTGCAGTTACACTGCCATGGAAATTAATGTGGTTTTCTTTGTATTTCTCCTTCTTGGGGTTAATGGAGTTTCTTTAATCTGTTATTATGTTTTATCAGTTTCAAAAACTCGTTGGCTAGTATCTTCTCAAACATCTCTTCTATCTTAATGCTCTCTCCTCTGAAACCCCCTGTTCACATGTGGTCAAGGTCCTCACCATTTCCCTATATTTCCTGCTAGTTTTGTATCTTTTCCACTATTTTGTTCCTTGCTACTTTAATCTAGACATTTTCTACTAATCGGTTTTCCAATCCATAATACTCTCATTCACTGTGTCTAATCTAATGTTAGACCCAACTATTTAATTCTTATTTTCAGGGATCCTTCTAAGTTTTCAAATTTTCATTTAATTTTTGTAATCAATTACATTCTCTAATAAAATTCTCCATCTCGTCATCCATTTTCTTGAATGTATTACTCAGAGTAATTTTACAGTCCATGTCTTAAAATAGCAGTATCTGGAATATCTACTATCTGCTTTTTTTTTCTTTTTAGCTGTGTTGGGTCATTTGGTCCTATTTCTGTCATATCAGTAATTTTTTATTGAAATTACAAATAATTAAATTGCAGAGGTTTTGGGTGATGTCTCACTCCAGAGAGGATGTAGTTTTCCTGGCACGATGGGCAGACCGCCCTGAGCCGACCAGGGATCGAGTTGATTTGAGGCTGCGTTTCAGGCTTTGTGGAGGCTGCTTGGTTTCTGGTTTGTCTTTGTTCCTGGGTCTTAGCTCTTCAGGGGTTTCAAATGAAAGCCTGGAAGTCCCTCTACTCTTGACACCCAGAATTTCCACTTTTGTCACTCAGTACATGAGGTTGCTAAAATTTCTTCCAGCTGCTTTGCTTTCTCAGCTGCTGCTTCTTGCTTCATTCCAGCCTCTCAACCACCACTTGAACACCTTGGGGATAAAAAAAAAGGAAAACCTTAGTAGGTAACTCCTACTGGAATTTGGACTCTTTTCTCTGTGTTTTCCTTTTCTCCAGAATCGTTGCTCCTCACGTCTGCTCCCTTGAAAGCCCTTATCTTCCCGTGTTGTCCACTCTGCCCAGAGACTGTTATAGGCTCCAGGCTTCTGCCTTGTAAATGGCCGCTATGCCCTGAGGCACGAGTCAGCCAACAGCAGGAGGAGGGGTGGGCGATGGACACATCTCTGTGCTTTTTCCCTTCCCCCAGGGTCCCTGTCCTTCAAGTCCCAGCTGCTTTGGCTCCTCTCGAAGCCCTTAGACAACTTTTTGAACTATGTTGGCCCCTTGGTGGGAGGGTAGTCAGATAAGCTTCTCCTCCGAAGCCACAAGGGGAAGTCCACTTCAGAATATATTTTTTAATGTTCTTAAGAGTTTTTAACCTAAATGTAAACCTAAAACGTTAATGTGTGATGGTCTCCGAAGCGCATTTGTGTGGAACAGCTTGTTTCCTAATGACTCTAAACATTTACAAGTCAGGTCACATGTCCAGCTAAGTCTTCACAAACACAGAATTTGTGTTAAAAGAGAAGTATAAACAAAATGTTTCGAACATTTTTTAGAGAGGCAAGATATCACATAAAGTAGTTCAAAGACAGGTCATTTGATGTTGCTCTTGAGGAAATTCTCTGCGTACAGCTTGGGCTTCACATCGGGGATGTGGGTGCACACCGCTGCAGGCTCAGGACCCCGTGCGGCTGCGCTTCATGCATTTACCCTGAAATCCTGTTTCCAGGACTCTAACCTAAGGAGATAGTCACAAGCAAGGGAAGAGATTTATATACAAAAATGTTTATCATAACACAAAACTGAAAACATCCTAAACATACAATCAGGAATAGTTAAATGACCAACTTCCATAAAAAAGAAGAAAGCTTTAAGATTAAAGCCACATAGGCAATTATTAAAGTGTTGACAAAATCAGTGTTTATCTATCCCTCCCCACCACTCCTGCTTCCATCCCTCACCCACCACCCCCTTCCCCTCCCTCCCTCTCCCCCCCGCCCCCACAGGAAGCTGCATTGCACCCGGAACTACATCCACCTGAACCTGTTCCTCTCCTTCATCCTTCGAGCCATCTCAGTGCTGGTCAAGGACGATGTCCTGTATTCCAGCTCGGGCACGCTGCACTGCCCCGACCAGCCGTCCTCCTGGGTAAGGCTGACCCTGCACACAGTCCTCTCACAGAGGGAGGGTGGCCTGTGTGACCTCTAGCCCCCCAACCTCCCTTCTCACTGCCAACCCCTTTTCTCTGCCTCAACTTCTCGTGGTGATGAAGTCCCACAGCCGTCGGAGGTCCTGGGGCGGGTGGTGGGGGAGGGAGGGCAGTGTCAGGCCTGAGGAACAGAGGGCCTGGCCAAGAGGCCGGGACCCAGAGCAGCCCAGGTCAGCAGGTGAGACTGCGGTGACACAGGCAGGCAAGTGAGCCAAGTCCCAGACACGGCCCAGGTCTCCAGGCTGGAAAATCCTGACATAGATGGACACACACATTGCCACTCTTTTCTCCCAGCATCTCCCAGATCTTGAGCAATGGGCGCTTCCATCCGCTTGCTGGGAGGCAGTCACCTGTGCGGTGCCTGAATTCCACGCAGCGCCAGCCGGGAGCCCCTTGCATGTTGTGAATACGCTTGGGTCCAGTTCTTTGATACGAGGATAAACCATCTTGGTTATTAGTGTCTACGAATGTAGTCTAGGCTGTTCCACACTGCCCGTGCTGTCCTCACCCCCGGCTGGGTTTGTGGTGGATATTAGTGGGTCTTAGCACTGAGTTCATTTTGGTACAACACAGATTGAGCTCTTCCGATATGCAAGTCATCCTACGAAGGTTTTCTCTGCCACCATACAATGCCATGGTGTCCTCAGAATCTTTGGCAGGCGTTTGGTTTCTGGTTGATGGCTCTTAATTTGATGGTAGCTTCTGAGGTGGGCTCCTCTCATCCGTAAGGAGCCAGGATGCTGGCTCTCGTCTCACATTCTGAATGGATGGAATCATCTGCTGGCACTGTGCTCTGGACTCAATGGATTTGAATTAATTTAGTTTTAAGATGATAAAGCCCTTTGTAACGCCACAGAACATCAACTGTGTCGTAGGCCTGCAGGTCGATATATTCCTGGGGACAGTCGGCGCTTGATGCACGTGGATTGAATTAATAAAAGGAGCCTGTTGTGATTACAAAATTAATAACAAGATCCTTCCCTTGGAAGTCTCCACCCACAAGTGGACATTCGGGCCCCTGGCACAGGAGTCTCCAGTGTGCACGACGAGGGTGAGACCCCAGCTCACGAGCAGGGAGCACGTGAGTCTCCAAGCTCTGCTCGGAGAAGCCCTCCTTTCTTAGCCCTTTACTAAAGGACCTGGTGACCCTGGTGGCCCACAGACACCATGCATTTGACGGGAGCAGCGCTCTCGACTCTCCTGGCTCGTAGACAAGGACCTGATAGGCTCCTCACGAAGGGTCAGGGAGTGGTAGGAACCCCGGGGCAGCAAGAGGTGACCCTGCCGTGCGGCCCCCCCATGCTAGGAGCACTGCACTCCCTGCTGTGTGTGGGTCTCCTCCCAGAGCCACGCTGTTTGTGGGACACTGTTGGTGAGCACCCAGGGACTGAGAGAGCGATTCACCCGTTCTGCAAGAGGACTCTGGGCTGCAGGACCCCAGCCACCCGCCCAGCCTCACAGCACCATGCCCTTGATGGGCTGCCATCGGGACTCAAACCCGGGACACCGGCAGAACAGGCCTGGCACTGCGTTTCCAGCAAGTTCTCAGGACTGAAGTTTGGGATGGGGGAGCAGGTGCAGGAGTCCTTTGTCCCAGAGCTGTGAGAGCGGAGTGGAGGGTCCCAGCTGCACCCCTGGCACCAGAAATCACCCAGACTCCCGTGCCAGCAGAAGAAAGAAGGGAGGGGGGCAGGAAAGAGGAGGGAGGAAAGGACGCGCGTGGCAGGAGAGAGTGGGGACAGGAGAGGAGATCTGGGTCTTCCCTGTACTGTCCCCGGGAGAAGGCTGAGGTTTCCTGTAAATTAGCCAGAAATAGCCAGACCTCAGCAAGAGGGACAGGAGTGAACGTCCTTCCCCTCAGCTGTGTTTCTTGGACGTTTTTGTTCCCAGTGGGTTTAGCCAAACCCACATTATTCTCCCAAGCAGAACACCTGGGGCAGCTCCCCAGGGAGGTGCAGGGGTCTTTTCCTCAAGACTGCAGTCGCGAGCCGAGAATGAGAGGGAGTCTGTCCGCCTTCAAGACAAGGCTCCCCCCTGCCACGCCCCTTCCTGCATGGCCTGGACAGTGGCTGCCCCTGGGCTGGCCAGGCTGCCCGAGGGCAGAGAGGGGCACACAGGCAGTTTCTTCTCATGGAGACCAGAGCAGATGGCATGTAGGATCTACGGGGATTCTCAAAACCCCAGCCTCAGGCTTTCCAAGACGCTCCCTGAGAGCTCGAGTCCCCCTGCCTGGGGGGTCAGGGGTGTACACTGCAGCCATGAGGCCAAAACATCTAAACAAGGACACCCCAGCCCAAAGCTGACCTCTGACCTGGCCACTGCCTGCGGCCTTAGGGGGCTGGGGAGAGCATGGGAGCCAGAGACATGGGCTGGAGGTCCAGCTGAGGGTCCCACATCCCAGAGGGTCCTGGGCCCACCGAGCTGCCATGTTAGCCCACAGCCTAGGTCAAAACGGCAGAGGGATCAGGAGGAAGGGAAGCGAGCAGCGCAAAGTGAGTGAGAGTCCGTCAAGACACACATGTGCACATGCACGCATACACATGCGAAACACATGCACACGTGCACAGAGAGATTCACATGTGCATGTACATGTGCAAACACAGGCATATGTGTGCAGACACACAGAGGCACCTGTGTACACGCAGAGACATACAAGCACACACATGTGCACACACCCCTTCAGACTCTGTTCTGTCCCGTGTTTGGATCTGTCCCTGGAAGAGCTGGTTTGGGGGTTTGCGAGGTGCTGTGGGAGCCCCATGTCCTCAAGTGCACTGCAGCTGTGGACACAGGACACACGTGAGGCCGCACAAGTGGGCATTGCCATGGGCGTACAACGCTGCCCTTCACTGTATGCACAATGAGAGCTCAGGCATCAGGCCCACACGTGTCCCCAGCCCTGTAGCTGTCTGCTTCATGGCATTTTCACACATTCAAATAAATTTTTTTGCCTGTTTTTCTTGCTCTTAACCAGCAAGTGCAGATGCCGTGAGTGCCCCAGGGACCAGGGAAACACCTTGCACCCCTGCAGGGCTGGGGTGGACGAGCGTTTCCAGGGTGTTCCTGATTGTGCCTCTGACAGCCCTGGGGTGGGTGTGGCTTCTCCTGAGGAGTTGGGCCTCGAAGAAGCCAGGTGCCTTGTGTGAGGTCATAAAGCTGAACAGGAGACAGAGCCTCCGCCCCCCGTGCCACCATTGCCTGGCTCCTGTGCACACTTGGGCTCCCTCCTTCTCTGTGCTGGTTTGTTTGGTTTTCATCTAACTTCCATGGAAAACCATACTCTAGTGTAGAGAAAATTAACAACGGGATGAGCACCTGGGACTCGACCTCCTGCAGGAGCCCAGGTGAAGACGAGGCTCATTCCCCTCGGTGCCCAGCAGCGTGCGGTGGTAGGAGGCTTCTAGCCCAGGGGACGTGTCGGGGTGGAACCTGCTGCTAATGGCCAACTGGCCTTGGCCAGTCTCCTGCCCTGGTGTCCGTGGGGCATGCCGTCTGGTCGGCAGCCGGCCCTGGAGCACCCACGTGACCCACCCAGCCCGTCCAACCTGACGGAGGAGGATTGAAACCATCGCTGAAAATAAAAGGTCAGCACAGGCTTGTCACTCCCCAAGCCCCGTCCTCAGGGAGCGTGTCGATGGTGAATGAGCAACAGAAAGAAGTACAGGGATGGCGTTTCACAATTTTACCAAGAAAAAGGAATCATCTTCAACACTTTCTGCGTTTTTTCCTTCATTCAACAGGACATCATGGCAATCCTCCAAGTCGACGAGTGTGTCAGGTAGCACAGGAGTGTGTGGCTGTGACGTGATTTAGTCAACCGTTCCACCAGTAACGCACACCTTGGTTTTCCGGGATTTACCACCACAGACACACTGCACGTGTCTTCACATTCTGTGTTGTTTCTGTCAGGTGGAACTCAGGAGTGAAACGCATCAAAGGGCTCGTGTGTTTTAAATTGTAATAAATGTCGCTGGATTGCTTTCAAAAGCCAGAGACAACTGACACCTGAACCAGCAACGTGCAGACTCTCCCTCCTGCACCTATGGAGGACGTGGATTGTCACGCTTTGCCCGCTGGTGGGCACAGAGTGCGCCGTCCTGGACGCCTGACACGATTTCTGTGGCTGTTCAAACGAGTGGTGCTAAGTCACGAGTTTCCCAAGTTGGTTCTTCTGGTTCACAGTTGTGTTGTTATGTGTGTCTTTCCACTGATGGTGGCCCAGGTCACAACATTCACTGGGTGGCTTCCACCAGCCGGATCCCGCTCCTGGCACTGGAGATCCGCGCTCACGTCAATAAACAGAACCAGTATGTGTGAGCACCTCAGGAAGGCAAACTGAACCTCGCACCTCTTAGGAGAGAGATTGGGGGACCAGGGCTGGAGGTGGGGGTGTGGCGAGGCAGAGGGACGGGATCCAGGGTGAGGGGCCTCACGCTGAAGCTCCTCTCAGCCCGGGGCCGGCCTGGAGGGCTGCTGCGAGTTTGCCATGAGCACATCCACCCCAAAAATATGTGTGAGTATATCCATCCCATATTCACAAGTATATCTACATATGTATGTCTGTATGCCCACCCCAAAGACAGATTTAAGTATATCTACAGACATATATATATAAAAATATTCCATATTCCACATATAAGTATATCCACACACATATATGTAAAAGTATGTCCACATGTGTATATCCACCCCCGTATAGAAGTATATCTACCCATATATATATAAATATATCCACATCCATATAAAAGTCTGTCTATGTATATAAATATGTATGTCCACCTATATATATTTTGAGAAGAGCCTGCAAAGATACAGAAAGAATAGAAATGAAGTGCATTCTTTTTCAGTACACTGTGTAAACTGAGTGATTAAAAGCAATTTCACGCGGCTCATGAAGTTGAAATACCTGGTACGTTTAGTTATATGAAGGTCTGAGAGATTAAAATACTATTATTTGTTTTGTATAACATGTGATTCTTTTCCCTGTGAAAACCATTTCAAAACTTCAGGGGAAATCATTGATTTGCTAGGTTTCTCTTGTTTTCCCCTTTATTTTTTCACCTCTTGTTAAGAGAAGACGGCAAGGAGGAGCAGCGAGAAGGACAAGTGGGACTGAGAGAGTGGGGCTGAGAACGCAAGACGGTGGTGAGGACGGGAGGAGAGGTCAGGAGAGCCGGCTGAAAACCACACGTTCCAGCAGCTCGCTCTCAAAGTCACGAGTCCCTCACACTCAGGGACGGCTGGGTACTTCTGCCTGCCTCATCCCCCATTACCTTCCAGCGAGTTCAGAGTCCGGGGTGTCACGGGTGACAGGGCCTCGCTCTAACGTAGCGCACACGTCCAGCCAGCGCCTCGGCACTGGGGTGTCCTTGGTTCCTTACACGAACGTGTGTGCCCCGTGCCCTGGGGCAGCTCCGCCCGCCATGAGCCGTTTCTGCTCCAGTGGGGCCACGCTCTCGCTCTGTCTGTGACGTTCCAGGTCGGCTGCAAGCTCAGCCTGGTGCTGTTCCAGTACTGCATCATGGCCAACTTCTACTGGCTGCTGGTGGAGGGGCTGTACCTCCACACCCTGCTGGTGGCCATATTCTCCCCCAGCCGCCGCTTCGTGGCCTATCTCCTCATTGGATGGGGTAAGGACTCCCCTCCCTGGCGCCCCGCGTGTGTGCCCGATGCCCCATCTGCCACCCCAGTGCCTCCAGTTCCTGATCCTCGTCCCCTCTGACCTAAATGCACTTTTTCAGCTCAGAAGAACATTTTGCCACTCCTGTAGGAGGCGCTTCAGGTCAAATTAGGAAAGGATTTTCCAGGATGACTGGAGGTTCCCACAGGCAACACTTTAATATTTCTGGGAACCGGGAAGCGAGTGTAAAACTACTCTAGACTCCCATTCGTGGAGCATTCCCTGGTGGGGGGAGTCAGAAAGAAAGGAGCAGCAGGAAGTTCTTCCATCACGAGGGCCTGACAACACGCCAGTTAGCAGGGGCCTCGCAGGAGCCAGAACTGGAAAGGGGTGTAAAGCTGGGGGACACCCACCTTCACAGCGGGGGCACCTTTCCGGTTGTCGCCACGTCAGTGCACACACCCTCTCCTGTGCTTCAGTGACAACGCTCGCCACGCACAAGGATTCGTTCCAGGCCTGTGGAGGTTCAGCTTTCAAACGTGTATTTACTTATCTCCATGCTTAGTAAGCCTGAGCATAACCTTGTATACATTTATGAAGAGTTTCCACTTAATCTTCTCATCAGAAAGCCCTCATTCATAACGACCCTGGCTAATGGAGGCGCCCACCATGTCCCTGCAGGGCTGTTCCAGGGTAACCAGCGCAGGGCTGTGGGTAACCAGGTGTCTCTCTGCAGGCATCCCCACTGTGTGCATCGGGGTGTGGACTGCAGCCCGGCTCTCCCTAGAAGACACGGGGTGAGTGCTCTGCCCACACTTCTGCCTCCAGACAAGAGGGAGTGGTACCCACTGCCTCTAGATGAAAGAGAGCAGTACTCTCTGCCTCCAGACAAGAGGGAGCAGTAGCCATTGCCTATAGATGAGAGGGAGATGTGCTCACTGCCCCCAGATGACAGGGGTCAGCACTCAGTGTTTCTAGATGAAAGGGAGCATTACCCACTGCCTCCAGATGGGAGGAGCAGTACCCTCTGCCTCCAGATGGGAGGAGCAGTATTCTCTGCCTCCAGATGACAGGGAGCAGTACCCTCTGCCTCTAAATGGGAGGGAGCAGTACCCTGTGCCTCCAGATGACAGGGAGCAGTACCCTCTGCCTCCAGATGGGAGGGAGCAGTACCCTCTGCCTCCAGATGACAGGGAGCAGTGCCCTCTGCCTCCAGATGGGAGGGAGCAGTACCCTCTGCCTCCAGATGACAGGGAGCAGTACCCTCTGCCTCCAGATGGGAGGGAGCAGTACCCTCTGCCTCCAGATGACAGGGAGCAGTACCCTCTGCCTCCAGATGGGAGGGAGCAGTACCCTCTGCCTCCAGATGACAGGGAGCAGTGCCCTCTGCCTCCAGATGACAGGGAGCAGTACCCTCTGCCTCCAGATGACAGGGAGCAGTGCCCTCTGCCTCCAGATGACAGGGAGCAGTGCCCTCTGCCTCCAGATGGGAGAGAGCAGTACCCTCTGCCTCTAGATGACAGGAAGCAGTGCCCTCTGCCTCCAGATGGGAGGGAGCAGTGCCCTCTGCCTCCAGATGACAGGGAGCAGTACCCTCTGCCTCCAGATGGGAGGGAGCAGTACCCTCTGCCTCCAGATGACAGGGAGCAGTACCCTCTGCCTCCAGATGGGAGGGAGCAGTACCCTCTGCCTCCAGATGACAGGGAGCAGTACCCTCTGCCTCCAGATGGGAGGGAGCAGTGCCCTCTGCCTCCAGATGGGAGGGAGCAGTGCCCTCTGCCTCCAGATGACAGGGAGCAGTGCCCTCTGCCTCCAGATGGGAGGGAGCAGTGCCCTCTGCCTCCAGATGACAGGGAGCAGTACCCTCTGCCTCCAGATGACAGGGAGCAGTACCCTCTGCCTCTAGATGAGAGGGAGCAGTGCCCTCTGCCTCTAGATGAGAGGGAGCACTCATCCTCGCGCACCTGGTTTGTAGGGGGATCAGGGGTGATGTGATCTTCCTTCTCTCTTCCACAGTTGCTGGGACACCAATGACCACAGTGTTCCCTGGTGGGTCATACGAACACCAATTCTAATTTCTATCATAGTAAGTAATCTCTGTGCCGAAACGAGTTCCCCATGGGCTGCACACTTTGGTGGAGAGCGAGCCCCTTGTCCTCTATTAAAGATAAACAGCCGTGTCCTGCTCAGCCTTCTTGCATGCTCCCCTCCAGGGGAATCACCATCAGGTTGATGAGCGATGTCTGGGCTGAACTGCATTTCCATTGGTCCATTTCACATCTAAGAATTAATTTACTCATGCTGCACAGCCTGGGGTGATAAGATCGGGCACACAGCCGCCTGGGCTGCCCTGCTCCGACATGGAGGCAGACCCGGCTGGGCAGGGCTCCGTGCTTCTGTAACCACAGCCCCACCTCCCCCCAGCCCTGTTCTGGTGAGGAGCCCACCCAGGCTGCAGACCCCCCCATACACCACCTCCTTTGCAGGGGAAGACACACACAAATGTGTTGTCTCTTTCTGTGCAGGTCAATTTTGTCCTTTTCATTAGTATTATACGAATTTTACTGCAGAAGTTGACATCCCCAGATGTCGGCGGCAATGACCAGTCACAATATAAGTGAGTATGAGTTTAGATCCAGTGCTGAGCAGCCCTCAGACCTCACACGGCCTGGGACCGAGGGCAAAGGGGAGGAAGGCATGGGCGGAGAGCAGAGAGACTGGATCTGGTCTGGGCACCCAGCACATGGCCCAAGTGTGCCTCTTGGAGTCGCTGGAGTGTGCTCCTGGCTGGTGTGCAGGGACCTGCGTGTGTCGGGTGAGAGCTCGAGTCTTGTCTGAGGCAGGGCGATGCACGGGGATGGTCTCGTGAGCCCTGCTTCCTTGTCGCGTGGACTTCCTGCAGTGAGCTTGTCGCCAGAGGGTTTTGCCCACTTTCCCATCTTGTAATCGACTTTTTCTCCTTGGCCACCCATTATTTGTATTTTATGTTTGATTCTTTCTCCCCATCAGACCACATGGTCCATGCCGGCACCTAATGCTGAGCCTCGTGCTTAATAATGTTTCATGTTTATTGACCAAATGATTACATGACGATGGCTGTCGTCCTCCCCATTCAGTGGGAAAGAGAACGATGTTTCAGTAAGTCACCCACAGTCATCCAGCTAGTTAGTGAGGACCTGAGGACTCTGTAAAGGAATTTAAAGTCTATAAATTTCTATTAAGAATTTATAAAGAAAAATAAAGTCCGCAACTTGAGTATAAAATAAACGCTAGCTTAGTGTGGAGTGGTTGTTCCAGCTGGTGGGCGCCTCGGGCTCAGACAGACCAGGGTTGGAATCGCAGCTGCTGAGAGCTGTGTGGCCCTGGGCAGGTCACCCTACTGCCCACTGGGGGGGCCCACTCAGGGTCTCCTTCCCTCCTTGGACAACCGGGGGACCTGGGGAGATGGAAGGGCAGCGTCCCTCGTGGTCAGGAGCCCGATGCTGGGTGTATACACAGCCGGAGGCCTGGGGGAAGTGACCGCAAACTCTGTGCCCCAGTGTCCTCACCTGTAAAGTGCAAATAATACTACTTTTCACGGAGGTTATGAGGATTCCTTGAGTTAACATTTGAAAGACATTCGGTGCCTGGCACCAGTGAGCACTGTGAGAGTTTGGTGAGCGGGGTGCCTCTAACTGAGCCTGGGATGTAGAAAGTCCAGGGAATTGGTTTCTCTGCCCAGCGCACATCAGAGGAGGCTGCACGGACCTGCAGGTGGGATTCCACTCAGACCACAAAGGACAGAGCGGTTTTGGCCGCGCCATCTGAGCAGCGTTTAGGGCTCATGTGGGGAGGGGGCCGATTCCCGGGACCCACCCGCCCCTGCGGCTCGGGGACCAGACCGTTCTCAGTCGCCCGTCACATCGAACTGCTGATTTTCTGCAGGCCTGTTTAGCTTCCATGCTGGCCTTTTCCCCGGGTCCTTTGGGAGTGTTCGCTAGGCAGATCTTAGAGACAGACACTTTTATTTTGGAAACAAAATCATCTGGGGATAATAGATTCTGCCCTTTTTCCAGGACAAGAAAGGCAGAGTGTCTGTGACACTCCCTCTGCTTATATCTTGACGTCTCTTCTGTGAACTGTCTCATGACAGTGGCAGCAAATCTCCCTGGACAGGGTCCCAGGGTTCCAGCCTCACGGAAACCCTTCTCTAGAGATGCGCCCATAGCAGACTCTGGACGTCTGAATGGTGGGGGCCTGGCAGGCTCCCGCTCCAGCATCTCACTAAAGGGCACAGCCCACTACAGGACCCCAGCTTTTTCACTCACCAGCCGACTCGGAACCAAGATGTTAAATGCAGCGGGTGCACCACGGGCTTATAAAGGTCAACGTGCGTGCCTGCAAGCGGGCAGCGCGCAGTGGTCAGTGATGGCCTTCCTCACTGACTGGGCTCGGACCGTGCTCACTCCTGCTGCAGAATCATTGGGGCTTCTGGGGTTTGTGCAGATCCCCTGAAACAGGGGAAACCCTGCTTGCTGTAAACTCCACAGGATGTGGTGTTCTGTTGTGAGGGAAATTTGGAGAAATGAACACATTTATCGAACTTCTGCATTTCTGCATTCGAGGCCCTGACTGCTAGGTTTGAGGCAAGTGCTTCAAAAATATGTAAAGAAATTTGAGACTTCTTTCTAAGTGTTGGGCGGGGCCAGCTGACAAGAGAAGCTGGGAGAGGAGCAAAGCGGAGCCTCCTCCCTCAGTTCCCCCCACGCAGTTTCCAGGACAAGACTGGTGGTTGGAGAGACCCCTGGATGTTTGTTTAGGGGACCTTGTGCACACACATCACCTGGGTCCTGACTGTGCCTGGGGGCTGAGGTCTTGCACCCCAACGAGCCCCAGTGACCCAGTACTCCTGATCCACAGACCTTGTTGGAGCGCAGGGGTCAAGTTTGGCCACACACTGGAATCACCTGGAGGATGTTACAACTCCTGATGCCGGGTCCCACCTGCAGAGACCCGATTTAATTGGAATGAGGAGAAAGTCTGCACTTGAGCAGTTTAAAAACCTCCCCAGGTGATCCTGACATGCAGCATTGAGAGTCGCTGGCTTAGAGCAGCAGTTCTCAAAGTGGGGTTCCCAGGCAGCAGCCTGGGACCCAGATGGAAATGCTGACTCAGCTCACAGAGCCAGGAATGAGGGTGGGGCTGGCAGTCTGCATTTTAACGTGACCTCTAGGTGATTCTGGTGCAGATGAGCTGGAGAAGTGCTGACTTAGAGAACCACGCCTGCGCCTGCGTTTGCTGATGGGGGAGGGGGTAGAGGATAACACTGCAGCCTTGGGGAGGGAGGAAGTGAGTTCAGCTCTTTGTTTCCCACACACAATGCAACATTGCAGCAGAAGGCCTGCTTTTTAGTGATGGAGGGTGATAACTCTTTGATGGACAGAGAAAGTACATCATTTCCCTGATTCCACAGAATCTGTGGGATCTAGCACACGGGTACCCGCCGGGAGGGTAACGCCGGCTGCAGGGATTCTGTCCGGCTCCTGTCGGAGCCTCACCCCTGCTGAGTCCCTCATTTGATCTCAGAGTGAGGCCTGTCTCTGTCCTTCCACTACTGGTAAGGGTCCCAGCTGTCAGCCAGGGACACGGGGCAGTAGGACCCACAGACCAGCGCTGTCGCTGGCCGGCTCCTCGAGGTTCCTCCTCAGAGCTCTGCTGCCTTCTGAGGATAGTGGCTTCATCGCCGCATTTGCACATTCTGCCATAAAGTGGGGGGCGTTACTTAGGAGAAAAGGCGCGTCCTGGTGAGGCCCCGGCCCCCCCAGGCCCCGGCGCAGCGCTTAGGCCCTCTCTCCGGCGCAGGAGGCTCGCCAAGTCCACGCTGCTGCTCATCCCGCTGTTCGGAGTCCACTACATGGTGTTCGCCGTCTTTCCCATGGGCATCTCCTCCAAGTACCAGATACTGTTTGAGCTGTGCCTCGGATCCTTCCAGGTGCGTGCGGGGGCCTGGGCCCGCCTCCCGGGCACGGGCGGCCGCTGACGACCCTTTCCTCCCGCAGGGCCTGGTGGTGGCGGTTCTCTACTGTTTTCTGAACAGCGAAGTAAGTCCTGCGTCCCGCCTCAGGACAGCAGCAGACGTTCCATCCGCGAGGGGTTTCCTAAAATGCGCCGCCCCGCCCCCGCCCCAGAAGGAGGCCTGTCTCCGTGGGGTCAGCCCTGCCCGGCTCTGCAGCTCTCTCGGCCTAGTAGCTGCGGCAGCGCCTTCTCCAGCCTCCCGCCCGCCCTTCCAGCACGTTCCCAAGCCGCCTCCTCTCCGCACCCCGGACATGATCGCAGTCCTGTGCAGTCCCACTTAGAGAGCTCCCGAGCGGGCAGTGAGGGACCCCGGCGGGGTCTGCATGGTCCCAGTCTTGCTTCTTGACTCAGGACCTGTGGGGCCCAGACATGAGGGCCCTGCAGACCCAGGGCGGGGGTGGGGAGACGCGCCTGCTCCTGCAGCTGCCGCCAGGGGCTCCTGAGGAAGCACGGGAGCCCCTCGTGCGCCCCACCACCGTGGGCTCTGCTCTCTGTTGTGCCCCCTGACTGCCCTCTGCCTGCCCTCCTACTGCCCTTGGTAGCCCTCTGCTCTACCCTCTGACTGCCCCTGGTTGCCCTCTGACTTCCCTCTGCTCTGCCCTCTGACTGCCCTCTGCTTTGCCCCCTGACTGCCCTCTGCTCTGCCCTCTTACTGCCCCTGGTTGCCCTCTGCTCTGCCCTCTGACTGCCCTCTGCTCTGCCCCCTGACTGCCCTCTGCTCTGCCCTCTTACTGCCCCTGGTTGCCCTCTGCTCTGCCCTCTGGCTGCCCTCTGCTCTGCCCCCTGACTGCTCTCTGCTCTGCCCTCTTACTGCCCCTGGTTGCCCTCTGCTCTGCCCTCTGGCTGCCCTCTGACTACCCTCTGACTGCCCTCTGCTCTGCCCTCTGGCTACCCTCTGCCCCTGACTGCCCTCTTACTGTCCCCTGCTATGCCCCCTGACCAAGATCTGCTCTGCCCTCTGGCTGCCCTCTGCTCTGCCCTCTTACTGCCCCTGGTTGCCCTCTGCTCTGCCCCCCGCTCTCCCCTCTGACTGCCCTCTGCTCTGCCCTCCCACTGCCCTCTGACTGCCCCCTGCTATGCCCCTGCTCTGACTGCTCTCTGCTCTGCCCTCTGGCTGCTCTCTGCTCTGCTCTCTTACTGCCCCTGGTTGCCCTCTGCTCTGCCCCCTGACTGCCCTCCGCTCTACCCTCTGACTTCTCCTGGTTGCCCTCTGGTTGCCCTCTGACTGCTCTCTGCTCTGCCCTCTTACTGCCCCTGGTTGCCCTCTGCTCTTAGTTCTGACCGCCCTCTGCTGTGCCCCCTGCTCTCCCCTCTGACTGCGCTCTGCTCTGCTCCCTGACTGGGCGCCATCCCTTCTTCTCACGTGCCGACGCCCCGCTGTTCCTCAGGCCCTCTACATGCTCATGGGGTCCCCGCCCCCCGCCGTCAGCGCCGTGCTTCCACCGGCCGGCTTCCCTCCCCATCTTCCAGCGGAGCCCCCACGGCGGCAGCAGGAGGAGCAGGACAACCCCCTGCTCCGCTAGTTAATCCTCTTCCCCCTGAGCTTGCTGCTGCCCCGGCGGCACCTCCTGCCGTCCGGGTTCCCCAGACGGGAGACCCCTCAGAGCCTGACCGGGAGGCCGGGACCCTTCTGGGCACCGGGTGGTGGCTGTGCCTGGCGGGGTGCACGCCCGGCACCCTCCCACCCGCCCCCGATGCCCAAATGCAGGCGCTGCAGTGCACGCCGTGGCCGCTCTTCCCTCTGCCGCAGTCGTCCTTTCCACTACTCCCCCCACCCCCACCCCCGTTCTTGGCTTCCTCCCTGCTCGGTGGGGACACCCCCCACGTCTACCATAGTCGAGCATCTCTTACCTGCTCTGTTCTCTGCCTTCACACTGGTCCAAGCGACCCCCCACCTGCCTCTCCCCACTCTTTCCAGCCTACCCCCAACACCCTCACTGGGGCCAGAGCGGCACCAGGACCCCACGAGACGCCCTGCCGCACCCCTGGCTCCTCGGAAGCTCCTCCCCGAAAGTACCAGTAACCGTCCCGAGGTCGGCGTGTCGCCGTCTCACGCACATCTCTCTCACCTGCGCTCAGGGCTTCAGGCTCCGGGCTGAGCGCCTTCCCCTCGGCCTCCCGGCCGTTTTCCCGGGGGGACACCTGAGCGCCCGCCTGGGCTGGACGATGGCTGAGCGCACCCCCCGCCTTGCCCCCACCAGGTGCAGAGCGAGCTGAGAAGGAAATGGAGGAGCCTGGGCCGGAGCCAGCCCTCCGGCCGCGACTACCGGCTCCACAGCTCGTCCATCTCGAGGACCGGCTCGGAGGGCGCCCTGCAGGGCCCCCGGGGCTCGCGCGCCGCATCCCTGCTGCAGACGGAGACCTCGGTCCTCTAGGGCCCGCGGGGCCGGGGCGGGGCGGACCCCCGGCTCGTCCGCCCCCCTGTGCTTGTCCGTCTGCGGAGCAGGGTCACGCCGTGACCGACGGGGACTTAATCCAGTTGTTCAACTCCGTCATTTAGGTAATTTTGTTCATAATGCTGTTTGGCCTTGTAGACAGACCCATTTTCAAAGAGAATAGGGGAGACCGAGGTGGCCCCCGAAACGAGGCCGACGCCCCAGAACGTGAGTCCAGCCGCCGCGGAAGGAGAACGGGGGTCCCAGCCTCGTGAGTTCTCGGCGGGGAGCGGGCCCTCCCCGCGTGCCGCCAGCGCTGGCCCCCGCCCGGCCCTCGGCAGCCCCCCGCCTGCAGCACGTGCAGAAGCCGGGGCACGACCTCCTGGCGCCGCTCCCCAGGCGAGTCCTCCCGGCCCTCCGGCTCCCGCTCGCCCCACCGTCCAGGGCTCTCCTCTCCCGGCTTCACCAACGCCGTGGCCGCCCGGCCCGAGGAAAGTGCGGAGAAGAGCTCAGGGTGTGACAGCATGTCGTAGCGGTCACCCCGGGGCATCGGCGCTGCATGAGGGCCCCTCGACCCTGGACAGACGCCTCCCGGGTGACTTCAGCCCCCTTCGCCCAGCGGGGCTACCTGCGGCCACGGGGTGACCTGCAGCCAGGCTTCCGTTCAGGCTCCGGGTCATCAGGGCGACACCAGGCATTTTATCTGGTGGGCGTGGAGACCTATTCTCTTTTTCATGAAAATAATCTTGAAGTCATTTCTATTTAAATAGAGAGTTATTTTAACAAAGTGTAAAAATGAGTCAAGTGCTCCTGTGTTGCTTTAACTTGTAAATGTGGACGGAGTATCCACACGTGTAAACACTCAATAAAACCTGATTTCATGTCTGTCCACTGAGTAAGAAGCCGCTCTGACCAGCGAATCCGGAGGCCCTAGGCTCTCAAACTGAGGATGGACTCACATTTTCAGCTGAGCGCTGTCACCCCAGGAGGACGTCTCCTCATCTAACCTGGAGCTTGGATGGAGGAGGGAGAGGAGGGCACGGCCAGCGTCCCCAAGGCACGATGCCGCCTGTCAGGGCTTCCTCCACAGAGCAGCTGGGTAGGGGTGGCAGTGACTGCCCGGGGGTCTCAGCAGCCCTGGGGATGGGAGCCCTGTGTCTCTCAGCACCCCCTCCAGCTCCTCAGAACCTGAGACCGGGCTGAGTGTGTGTGCACGCATGTGTGTGCATGTGTGTGTTTGCGTGTGTGCCTGTGAGTGCACGTCTGTGTGCATGTCTATGAGCTGGCCATTAACCTCGTTTATGTCACAGGCAGATAAAATCTGTTTCTAACGAACTCCTTGCCCAACCAAACTGCTTCCTTTCAAATGGAATATAGCACACCACCAAAACCAAATCCTTGAGGATTTTCCACCAAATCCACCAAAAGCAAAGCCTCCAGGCCAAACTTGGAAATGAGCCAGGCAACCAGCCTCTGGTGAATTTCCCCAGCACAAAGCAGGGGAAGGATGGGGAGGAGGGTGGGCACGAAGCCTGGTCCAGGCCTCTGTCACCAGCATGCTCTTAGCCGTCTGCTGGTGGAGGGGCTCAGTGAGGACTCGCTCACACAGGAGCTGCTCCAGATGAGCTGAAGGGGGTGAAGACTTGATGGAGACCGAGACCCGAGCGCTCAGGAGCCGCCCTGAGGAAGGCGCCTCCTCTCGTGATGGAAAGAGCCTGCCTTCCTTCTCAAGAATGGCAGTTTTTTTAATGGCTTTTTTTTTTTTTTTTTTTTTTGCTGAGGAAGACTGGCCCTGAGCTAACATCTGTGCCCATCTTCCTCTACTTTTTTAATATGTGGGACTCCTACCACAGCATGGCTTGCCACGCAGTGCTGTGTCCACACCTGGAATCTGAACCGGTGAACCCTGGGCTACCAAAGCGGAACATGCACACTTAACCGCTGAGCCACCGGGCTGGCCCCAAAATGGCTTTTTTCCAGGTTTTCAAGTTGCAGAAATTATACAGAAGATTTATAAAACCTCAAATATTATAGATAAGTGTTACCTAGAAAGTGAAAAAGCTCTGAATTGCATCCTTCTTCTGCCCCCTCCCCTCCAGCGGTAAATCTTATGGGTGACTGATCCTGTTCCCAACATTTTCCTCTATGTCTAAGTGACCCTCTCCCCCCCACACCCCCCCACACCCCCCGTCTCTCTTTCTTCTTTTTCTCCATGGAAATTAGGGCATTTTGTATAGAAGTTTCTGCCACTTGCTTTGCTGGTTAAGGCAGATTGGGGGGATCTTGGCTGTCCACATACAACCTGCTTCATTTTTAACAGCTGCATAATATTCCATGGCACGGACATACTTGGTTCCTTCCATCTGTCCCCTGCTGATGAATGTTTGAGTTGTTCCTATGCGTGGTCATGTGTCTGCCCAGGTTCCTACAGAATGAACTCCCAGAAGTGGAGATGCTGGGTCCTGGGTGTGCAGGTTTAACTGCAGAGGGTGTGGCAGCTCCTCCCCCACAAACACCAGCACCTTGAGCTCTCCTCTCTTCCTCCCCCAGTCGCCTGTCTTTAGTCGTGAGGGACGGGAACATCTCTTTACAGAAAGCTTTTTCTTCGGTTCTGACTTAAAGCTGAGCCTCAGCCTGACCCACTGACATCGCGGTGGAGAGCCAGCCCCGGCTCCTCCCGGAGGCCACTCCGCCTGAGCACAGGCCTGCTCAAGTTTACAAACTGACCTCTTTATCCTAGGAAACGAGGACACACGCAGCAGAGGCTGCCGGTGATCTGCATTGTCGTCCACCGGCACTTTCAGAGGCACCGCTTCTTGTGTGGCCGTGACAAAGGATTTAGGGCATCTTTTATACAGAAAGTGTTGTTTGGAAGATGGGAAGAAAGGGGACTCGCTTTATCTTCTCTAAAGGTTTAACGAGGAGAGTGGGGGCTGTAGAGGCAGCCGTGGCTCATGAAAACAGTCCCACTGCACCCGCCCAGGGGCGCCCCAACGGAGCCCTGACCAGCAGGCCTCAGCACGCACACTGCCCCCAGAGCCGTCACAGGATCCTTGTTAAAGCTACTTCTGTCCAACACTGGGAACTGAAGAAACAACAGAAAGAATAAACTATTAGAATTTAATCACAAAATAATGAGACCAAGCAGGACCAGTCTATCTTTGAGATTTAGGATTTTACTCGTCCTCGTGTGCTGAAGGTTGTAAGTGATAAAGTCTAGGAGAGCAGTACGTAAACTCGACACCTTAAAAACACAGGCTTTCATGTTTGAATAATTACAGTTATGAATCTAGAAGATGCAAAACTTGTGATTTTCAAATCTTAACATGAATGCTTATAATCCTTTGAGATTTGAAAACACACAATACACTAAACCCCAGTATACAGTGACTCATGGTTCTGCAGATTTTGAAACAGTAAATTATGCCCTCCCGACTCGCCTGCGATGGAAACCCGAGTATTTGTCTGTCCTTAGCTCCATAGGAGCTGGAGACGCGTGAGGCGCCATCTCTGTGAGTTTCATTCCAGTTCCTGCAGACGCACATACAACACACATGAATGCTTGGACAGGAGCATTTGCTGGAAGCACCCGGCTGCCTCCCCATCGCCCTCCGAAGAGGATGTGGGTTGGCCTCCCCAAGCCTCTCTCCTCTCTCCCTCCTTTCAGACACCTGGGGCTCTGTGAGGAGAACCTCCAGGAAGAGAGAAGGGCTGGAGAGGGTTTCCTCATGGGGGGGTGGAGAGGCAGGGGGGTGTGATGGACCATTTTAATAGAACAGCACAGGAGGCAGCAGAGGAGCAGCCATGCCGGACAGTGGGGACCAACGGCACCACGAGTTTCCAAACCCAGAGCTTCCTCTGTGATCTACAGAAAAGGCAAGTGCAGGACTTGGCTTATTTACAGTCACTGCCCATGCACAGCTTTGCTCTTTGGATCTCACCACCTGGAGAGGAAACCATGGACCGTGGATTGATAAGCACATACTGTTGTCAACCACATCTGGTTCACATCATGTCTCCCTATCCACCCATCCATCTATCCGTCTGTCCAACTGTCTAATCACGTGGCTGCACATGGCTTTGCAGAGAACACCAAGGGTTCTGCAAGAAAAAGAAGGGCTTTGAGGAAAAGACAGGCCTTGACTTAGATTTGAGGGGATGAGTGGAATTCATAAAAGAGTATGAATTAAAAGTGAGTTTAAATGTAGGACAGATGTGGTTGGTGCACACAGCCCTGCAGAGAAATAGCAGAGGTGAGGTCAGACAGGCAGACGCCAATGCTGCACAGCAGGTGGAAAACTGGGTATTTTTCAAGGCATTTGAGCTGGGACATGGCACATGGAGGCAGTGTCTCAGGAGGGGAATCGAGGCTGGTGGAAAGAGAAGGAGACGCCAGCAGCAGCGTGAGCCGTGGTCTGTGCAGGACGGAGAGGAGGGAAACCACAGGCTTGGTGAGAAGTTTCTCAAAGAGGTGATGTCAGAATAACAGTCCCTGAGACGCCCGTGAGACACTGATGCGCACAGTGGACACGACGGCTGCATCCACGTCCGTGGTCTAAATGCCCGAGCAACGACATGTGAGCTTCCAAGTGCCATTTGCTCTGACGCTTTTAGGGTAAAATGAATACATCACTTTGTAAAATGTCTGTTAGTCCAGCTCAGGGGATTTTCTCAAGAGCCAATAGCCTTTGGTTTTTCCTGTCCTGTGAAGTTCTCTCAAGTGAAGGGGGTGTCCAAGGGCCCCTCTGGACCTCTGTTCTGCCATCTTGATGTAATTGCATCTCAGCCTGCACTGATCACATAAGAGACAGGTTGGAACCGACACCGTAGCAGAGCAGGTGAATCTGCGGAACCCCAACCAAACTGATTCCAGAAGCTCTTTTCACTGACCTTAAACCAAAAGAGAAAGGAATCTACGCATGAAATCTGCTTGAGCGGATCCAGGCCAGGGCGAGGAAAGAGCATCTGAATGAAACCACCACACAGTCTGGTCCCTGCTATAATGAAGCCGTCACTGCGGGCCCCACACCACGACAGACCATCCTCAGAGCTGGGACCACCAGGACTGCCTGCCCCACCCCACACTCTGGGTTAAACCTGGACAAACAACAGGTCCCGTGAGCCAGGTCAAGGTGTGTTTTTACAGAACCTTATTTGGGGCATTACAGGGATGTGCAGGCTGTGGGGGGAGGGGTCTGTCAGTGAAAATTACCTCCCAGGGTCGGTAACTAAGGTTAAGGTCAGGCTTCCAGGCCAAGGTCAGCATCCCAAACAGAGGCAGTAAGGGGGGGCTCGAGGCTCAAAGGAAGGAGAGCAGGGGGTGGGGACAGTCAGGCCCCAAACCCAAGGCCAGCCAGGCCCAGGGCCGTCACAGAGCAGCGCTGGGAGGACAGGGTGGGGGTCCAGCCATTTGATCCCCTACACGGAACCAGCTGCTGTCAAGAAAAACCACCAGGCGGGTCCAGGCCCGGCGCTCGAGGACCCTGTGCTTGAGGACCCCGCCGTAGTCAGCAGGGACGATGCAGGAGCAAGGACGTGGAGTGTGTCCAGCTGCATCTGCTCGGCACCTTTGCCCAGCCGCCCACGTATCTGCAGCGGGTAGTCCAGGGGCCAAAGCGGAGAACCCAAGGCCCCTGGACTTGGCTCACCAGGCTCGTCGGTTGGATCTCCCTCTGAAGACGGCCTTACAGCAGAGGGATGGCCTCTGCCCTCGGTTGGCATGGCCCAAGGAGTGCCTTCCACTCAGGCCACCAGGTGAACATGCCTTGGAGTGGGCCCTGCTCTCAGCGTCCCACAGAACCCTGCGTGCTTGTTCCTGCAAGCCGTCTTGAATTGGGTTTTTGTGGATTACCAATAAAGTAATAAATAAAAACGCAGCCCTCCTGTGGC